AGTTACGTTTAGTACGTAAGTAGTAAGTAAGTAAGTAAGGTAAGTTAAGTAAGTTAAGTAAGTAAGTAGTAGAGGAGAGAGAGAGAGAGAGAGAGAGAGAGAGAGAGAGAGAGTAAATGTTCATGAATACATGAAAGATGGGAAGCATGACAAAGATGTTCAGGATCCAAGAAATATTTCTAGGGTCCAGAAACAACTGAATAAAAAAACCATCAGAATTAAACAATTCAGTTTTTGGAGGATTTAATGGAATGTATAGATAACAAGTTTTATGCTTCTTGATATCTTATTCATACTCTAGTCATACTCTAGTAATACAGATGAATAAGTTTTGTTTTCTCTTTTACTTAAAATTTTGTCTCGATTTTAATTTCTTTTTTGTTTGCATAGAGAGAAGGAGATGCTATTGCATGCCTCGAAGAAGATGAATGCTCTGAAGTCTATGAGAAGGAGCAGTTCAGTCCGGTTTCAGTGTTGGATTTCCCTTTTGAAGATGAAGAAAATGCAAGTTTCGAAAGAAGCCTTGCAAATATCGAGAGTAAGCATATGCTCCCTCTCTTTTTTTACCCCTGTTCTGAACTTCGCTGTGTTTTAGATCTCAGTGGCGTGGGGATGGATGGTTCTCGTCATCATCATCTGAGCCTTATGCCCCATGGGAGTGGATGGTTCTGTGATTGTTAATTGTCTATGAATCATCTATATGAAGTTTTGAACAGCAATTTACCAAATATGAAATCCATGAATTTAATCCCTCTCTCTTAACTTCTCTGAATTATTATTACCAGGAACAAAGCAGCAACTTTTACAAAAGCTATGTCGATACGAGAACCTTGCTCAACTTGACCCTCTCGACCTCGAGCAAAGGATCGCATCATGGGAGGCAGAGGACTCCAGCGAAGAATCCGGGGACAATTCTCTCGATCTGACTGGAAAAACTGACTACGAAGATGATGCTGGCCTCTCTGAAGAGCACGTAAAAGAGCTTCTAATTTGTTTCAAAACTGGCGTGAAAGCCCCAAGAGGAGCTTTCAATAAGCTCATATATGACACCATTAATGAAGAGCTCGGGAGCTTCGGTTTCCAGGGTGAACAGAGAGAAGAAGAGGAAGAGATTGTGAAAGGTGTTTGTAGTAAGATAAAGGCATGGGAGTTAGTTGAGGGGGGAAGCTATTGGTATAGGAACGTGTGGGATGAAGAGAAGTGGAGAAAGTATGGGGAAGAGATGGAAGAGATTGTTGTTGAAACTGAGGGCTTGGTTTGGGATTTGTTAGTGGAGGAATTGATGGTGGATCTGGTTTAGTGTTTGGGTCTGGATTGAGAGGATTTAGGACTTCATTGATGTACTATATACTACATAGGCTCAAGATTGAGAGAGAGAGACAGAGAGAGGAGAGAGAGTGATAGAGAGGGAGAAGTGGGCTTCATCTCAAAGCCAGAGAGAGAGAGAGAGAGAAATGAGGCTTCATCTCAAAGCCAGAGAGAGAGAGAGGGAGGAGAGAGTGATAGAGAGGTGGGCTTCATCTCAAAGCCAGAGAGAGAGAAATGAGGTTTTATCTCAAAGCCAGAGAGAGAGAAATGAGGTTTTATCTCAAAGCCAGAGAGAGAG